AAATAACTTAAAATACAGAGAACAGAAAAAGGCAGGTAATGTTGAGCCATGTTTGAACGGTCAATCTTTCTATTGACATTATATTTCTATGGGTAGACAAGGGGTTTCACATTTAATCCTGGATAGATTCATTATCATTTAAAAAAAATATATAACATCAGGTGAGACGCTAAACGGGTCTGAGTGAGACTTGAAAATATATTTGCCACCACTAGGTGTCCCTGTGACATTTTGAGCTGTTTGTAAAGCGTGTCCACATGACAAGTGGCATTCGAAAATACACATACTGAAAGCTTATTAAAGAATACATGAATAACAAGTTGCAATGACAGAAAGGACTAAAACATAATAATGGAGTCTGATGATTCTATTGGTATACAACAATAAACATCTTTACAGATGATTAGTGACTTGGTCAAATAATATATATATATCGAGATTAAAGCATACACACTAAAACGCACACAAAACGTAAATCTAAATCAAATGACATGAATGAGAAGTATGCGTAAATGAAATAAACAAATGCAGGTGAATCATTGGTTAAACCTCTGGTAAAGTGGCATGCATTTCAAAGGTTGGGTCGGGGCTTTACAAAGCAATTTGTAATGTGCTCGGTTTGTAAATGAACCCATTAAGTACAAATTACTCCATAATCACAGATCTCTACTCGCACTCTCAACTCCATTTTCTTTTCGTCTTTTGTGTCTACATCAAACCGGCGACGTTTCCCTTTCCTTTCACGCAGGTCTCTGCCCAGAACACTGTGTAAAGATACAGCACTGACACACAAAGAGAAGCCAGCGGAGAAATGACACGTCACCTGTGAGCTGGATTGAGGTATTAAAGATGCAAGCTGTACCAACTCAAAAAAAAAAAAAAAAGAAGAAAAAAAGACATGGGATGTCGTAATGGCACCATTTAAATGAGTTTGTCACCATTACCTCTAGTCTGCACGCTCAAAATGGAGCCGAATTAACCTGTCTTTGCAATGTCAAACCTACTGTTTTTTTGTTCCTTTTTTCTCATTTTAAAGTTGTACCAATGAGGCAAAGGAGAGAGAGAGAGAGGAAAATGAGGGACGCATCACTCTGACAGGACCTCTAATTGGACAGCGTGTCGGAGCTCTTCAGGGGCAGGCCATCCGGAAACGGCCAGATAATGACAAGACGGCGGCTGCCTTTCACTTTGGCGAAGGTTAACACACATACACACGTTTGAATGACGGCGACTGCAGAGCTGTCAGTGGAGAGAGAGAGAGGTGACCATCTTTCCATCTGCTGTGTTGGGAGAAGATTGTCCCTGTTTTTCACATATCCCGTTGTTGTCAATCACGTCGCTGGTAACCCTCGTTCTGTCAAAAGTCTCGCGAGAACTAGACTACATACAGTTTCCAGAGCTCCCTTAAAAAAAAACAAAAATTCTGAAACTAACATACATTTCTGTTTTTTTAATATCGGGGGCAAGTCCAAATTATTCTCTGTCAACATGTTATTATTATTGATGCTCGTTTCCACCCCAGATCAAAACATTTTAAAAGACTTGAAATTGCGGGAATTAAATTTTTTTTTTTAAAAATTGTACATTTATTTTTCGCAATTACGACTTTTTATCTCACAATTATGAGTTTACATTCAGAATTGCGTGATATAAAGTCACAATTGCGTGTTATAAAGTCAGAATTATGAGATATAAACTCGCAATTGCGAAAAATAAACTTGCAATTGACTTTATTTCTCGCAATTGCAAGTTTATATCTCACAACTTTATAACACGCAATTCTGACTTCAAATCATGCAATTCGGACTTTATATCTCCCATTTGCGTGTTATAAAGTCAGAATTGTGAGATATAAACTCGCAATTACGAAAAATAAACTCGCAATTGACTTTATTTCTCGCAATTGCAAGTTTGTCTCTCACAACTTTATAACACGCAATTCTGACTTCAAATCATGCAATTCTGACTTATATCTCCCATTTGCATGTTATAAAGTCAGAATTATGAGATATAAAAGGTCTATTGCTGTCGATGTCCTGTAAGATCCTTCGCTGTTCGGACGCCAAAGCAGGACCGTCAGAATGAACGTATGGGTATTCTATCCTGAGCCTGATTAGAGATGCTAGAAAATCAAATTTGTTTTTTTCTTTCTTAATTCTGAAATTATGCTAGTTAGTACCTTTTAAAGAACGTAAAACATATTGTGACAACTAAAATTGAAACATTTTCATTTGTTTTCAGTTAACCTTCAGTTAGCAAACAGCATAGCTTATTAGCGTTAACTGGTTGAGAAAAGCTTTTTTGATTAGCTAGAATAAGATATTTAACGTGTTAATGTTGTAATCTGGCATTGAAGATGGATATAGGTTCTTTTTTTGATGCACGAACATTACTCTTACGAAAAGTACTACAAAATAAAACGCCCAAAACATGGTTCTTACAGTTAAATCATGGTAACCTCAAAATAACCATGGTTTTACTAGTTTAGCCACGGCTTTTTGTGGTTATACAAATGGTAATCAATCCTCCAAAAACATGGTTACTACACTTTTACAATAATAAAACCATGGTTAATTTTCATAAGGGTAATTAAATCATATTGCGTGTTTTTTTTTCCAAATCAGTTTTTTATCGGTCAACTCCACAGTCGCCTGTCTAAATGTTCAGAATCGCAGCTTACGGTTGGGGCTAGTATTTGTTTTAGTGTTGTGTAGACAATCAGACTTGGTGTGTGGGCTTTACTGGTTTAGGGCTAAAAAATTGCTTTAACCCTTCAGAAGCAATGAAAGGCAAGGTAAGAAACGTTTCCATACCTCACCCGTACCTTGGTAGCAACAAATGAAAATTTTGTGAGAGTTTGACAGAACAAGGTTTACCATCTAGTCGCGATTCGTGTCATCTCTCTGTGGGGATTATTTGGCAGTGGGATGTTGGTGACTTTAGGGGTGAGAAAGGGCTTCTGTGGCAACTGGATGGCAGGCGAAGTTGGTTTTGCTGACAAGAGGACGATTACGCCCAGCAGGTTAGGCTTCCGCATTCATACAGTCAGAGTGAAGTTTTCCTGCTCGGGAGGTTTTCTGACCCAGGTCCCTAATCCTGCTTCCCGTAGACCCTTCAACCACTGCAGCTTCACGGTCTGGTAGGTGCCGGCCGCCTGCTTCGCTTCACAGTACAGAGGCATACCACTCGGCCCATGGACCACCAGCTACAGAAAGAGAGGGAAGCAGAGGAACAATGATAGAAGAGTGATTCGACAGACAGAGATGGTGAGAGTGCAAAACAAAACGAATGAGCCGGCACAAACGTGGCATTTGAGCAGCTGTGTAATCTCTCCATTTAAATTTCACAAGCAATTGAACATTCTCCGTGCTTTTGTGCGTTTCTTTGTCACACACACACACACACACACAAAATAAAAAAGCAGAGCAAAAAGGGGCGCGGTGAACGGAGAAAAGAAAAGTTTCTTTGGAGATTAGTGTGTGTGCTCTTGCGTCCCTGACTGCGAGCGCTGAGCGTTTGCCATGGGAGGCCGCTCAAGTGCTTTTCAAGATGATTACCATTTCCACAGTCATTAGACTTTAACTGCCAGCATTTGGTACAGCAGCCGGCATCTCTCCCATACATTTACATGATGAGGGCCTAATTCTGCCCTACGCTTTTTTTCCCCGTCTCATAACAAATGGGAGCTGTCTGTTCTGGTTAATAAAAGCAGAATTATTCATCCTCAACTAGTTCTTTGGTTACACTTTATTCTGATGGTCCCCTTTAGATGTTCTGTTGACCATAAGTAACGTTGGACCTACGTGTCAACTAACTCTCATGAGAGTATTGGTTGAGTATTAGTAGACGGTTAGGGTTAGTAGAATACGTTGACATGTACTTGTAAAGTTACTTATAATCAGTATGTCTGTTGTGGATCATCAAGACCTTAGAATTGTCTAAAACTTCCCCGTGTTACGACATACCTGGTCACATTTCCAATGGTCACCAGAAATCATGTCCAAAGTTGTTATGGAGTTTTAAAGGGATAGTTCACTTTGAAATTGATTTTGGGTATGTTTTAGTTTACCTCAAGATGGCATCCAAGATGTAGGTGTCTTTGTTTGCGCTGTATTTTCATTTTTAATATTTTTAGGTCAAACCGTTCTTGTCTTTCAGTCTTATAATGGAGGTCTATGGTCACCACCTCAAAGAGCATGCACAGAGAAGTCCAAATTAAACATGATTTAATGACTCGTAAATGCAAGTACACATTGATGGCCTAAGGCAAGAAACGAGCAGTTTGTGTGAGAAAACTAACAGTATTTATATTGTTTTTACCTCTTGTAACCACAGCCACGTCCAAGTGATCTCTCGCGCAGTTGCGAAAAAAAAATTCTATGTTGTCTGTTGATATATCGAAATCGTCTTCCATTGCGATTTCCTGTATATCTAAATATGTTTAGATCTTCACAGTGAAGGGTAACACTTCCGAAATCTCTGTGTAAACAATGAGTGACGTCCACGCGCTTGTGCAGACCGAAGCGCCCGCGCCCTTAGATCACTTGGACGTGGCTGTGGTTACAAGAGGTAAAAACGATATAAATACTGTTCGTTTTCTCACACAAACCGCTCGTTTCGTGTCTTAGGCCATCAATGTGTACTTGCATTTACGAGTCATTAAATCATGTTTAATTTGGACTTCTCTGTGCATGCTTTTTGAGGTGGTGACCATAGACCTCCATTATATGACTGACAGACAAGAACGGTTTGACCTAAAAATATCAAAATTGAAAATACTGTGGAAACAAAGACACCTACATCTTGGATGCCCTTGAGGCAAGGGCGTAGGAACGTCTTTGACATTGGGGGGGACATACTGGCCACTATGAATCAACGTCAATCCCACCACCATAATAGTAACATACAGTTTGGTGATGTGGTACATGCAGTGGCGGTCTGTTTTGGGGCCCCCTCCCTCTACGTGAAGTCACCTGTGCTTGGCGATTATTGACACAAATGTCACGCAATAATTATACATTATAAATGAATACAGTGTTAATACTAAATAAATACTTAAATACTTAATACTTAAAAAAATAGATGCCTACTTAAATAAAAAAGTTTTAACTTTTACTTTACTCTTTTACTAACTCTTAAACTTCTTAAAACAAACCGTGTCAAAATATATAAAAATAAATTATTTGCTAAAATAATGACAAAACTGATAAATCAGAAACAAAATAAGAGCAAGGGTTCAATAATGACAATTATTGTTGAAAACTTTAAAAAAATATTATTATTTCTCAACTTTCTCAATACAGTTTAACTGTCCTCAAAATCTTTATTATTATTATTATTGTAACAGACTTTTTTGGATTGTAAATTACATAATTCAACAAAGTCTGTTAACACCGGTTATGACGTACTAGCGCTCGTTGTATGTGTGCGCAATGTATTTTTCCCCTCGGGGCTTGCCGTAGATGGGTCGTGCGCACTTGGTACGGGCTCTGGTACGGTCGCTGGATTTTGTTAGTGATCTGATGTGGTATAATAATAAAGTGGAGAAGAGTTCAATCTGCTGTGTTTATTATTTATTCAAACTGCAAACAAAGGTATGTGATATTATAAGTAACATGGAGCTAATAACAAAAATAACATTGTCAGATTAGATAAATCATGTACGTTCCAGTTCAAAGCTGGTGCGTTTCTAGAGTAATGTTAACTTCTCTCTACCAATCAGATGCTCCGGTGAGTGAAATATATGAAGCGAATGGTGATTATTCAAACATGAAATGGGAAGGTTTAATCTATCTCTAACTATCACTCTGGGTTTTACTTGCTGGCAAAACTGGATATCTTTGTCGCGCTTTAAAAATAAAAGTTCCAAATGTACAGTTTTTGTTCCTGTGGTAGGTTAGGTTTGGTATGGAATTTTTTGGGTGGGACACATGCCGAATTTTTCAATATTGAGGGGGACACGTCCCCCCTGGTTCCTACGCCAGTGTTTTGCACTCAGGTTTAAGTTTCATGGCCCTCTATCAGAATCCAGAGTTTTGAGAAGATTGGAGAAACTTCATTTTTCGCCCGAAAAAAAACAAAACGTAAGGGGTACCACTGTCGTTTTTTTTTTCGGGTCGAATTTTTGAGTTTCGATATCTCAGCTCTGGAAGGGTCTAGAGCCTCCATTTTGCACTCAGGTTTAAGTCTCATGGCCCTCTATCAGAATCCAGAGTTTTGAGAAGATTGGAGAAACTTAATTTTTCGCCCGAAAAAAAAAACCGTAAGGGGTACCACTGTCGTTTTTTTTTCGGGTCGAATTTTTGAGTTTCGATATCTCAGCTCTGGAAGGGTCTAGAGCCTCCATTTTTGCACTCAGGTTTAAGTCTCATGGCCCTCTATCAGAATCCAGAGTTTTGAGAAGATTGGAGAACTTAATTTTTTGCCCGAAAAAAAAAAAACGAAAGGGGTAACACTGTCGTTTTTTTTTTCGGGTCGAATTTTTGAGTTTCGATATCTCAGCTCTGGAAGGGTCTAGAGCCTCCATTTTGCACTCAGGTTTAAGTCTCATGGCCCTCTATCAGAATCCAGAGTTTTGAGAAGATTGGAGAAACTTCATTTTTCGCCCGAAAAAAAAAAACGAAAGGGGTAACACTGTCGTTTTTTTTTTCGGGTCGAATTTTTGAGTTTCGATATCTCAGCTCTGGAAGGGTCTAGAGCCTCCATTTTTGCACTCAGGTTTAAGTCTCATGGCCCTCTATCAGAATCCAGAGTTTTGAGAAGATTGGAGAAACTTCATTTTTCGCCCGAAAAAAAAAAACGAAAGGGGTACCACTGTCGTTTTTTTTTTCGGGTCGAATTTTTGAGTTTCGATATCTCAGCTCTGGAAGGGTCTAGAGCCTCCATTTTTGCACTCAGGTTTAAGTCTCATGGCCCTCTATCAGAATCCAGAGTTTTGAGAAGATTGGAGAAACTTAATTTTTCGCCCGAAAAAAAAAAAAAAACGAAAGGGTACCACTGTCGTTTTTTTTTTCGGGTCGAATTTTGAGTTTCGATATCTCAGCTCTGGAAGGGTCTAGAGCCTCCATTTTTGCACTCAGGTTTAAGTCTCATGGCCCTCTATCAGAATCCAGAGTTTTGAGAAGATTGGAGAAACTTCACACCCGGAAAAAAAAAAAACAAAGGTACCACTGTCGTTTTTTTTTTCGGGTCGAATTTTGAGTTTCGATATCTCAGCTCTGGAAGGGTCTAGAGCCTCCATTTTTGCACTCAGGTTAAGTCTCATGGCCCTCTATCAGAATCCAGAGTTTTTGAGAAGATTGGAGAAACTTAATTTTTCGCCCGAAAAAAAAAAAACGAAAGGGGTAACACTGTCGTTTTTTTTTCGGGTCGAATTTTTGAGTTTCGATATCTCAGCTCTGGAAGGGTCTAGAGCCTCCATTTTTGCACTCAGGTTAAGTCTCATGGCCCTCTATCAGAATCCAGAGTTTTGAGAAGATTGGAGAAACTTAATTTTTCGCCCGAAAAAAAAAAACGAAGGGGTAACACTGTCGTTTTTTTTTCGGGTCGAATTTTTGAGTTTCGATATCTCAGCTCTGGAAGGGTCTAGAGCCTCCATTTTTGCACTCAGGTCTAAGTCTCATGGCCTCTATCAGAATCCAGAGTTTTGAGAAGATTGAGAAACTTAATTTTTCGCCCGAAAAAAAAAAACGTAAGGGGTAACACTGTCGTTTTTTTTCGGGCGAATTTTGAGTTTCGATATCTCAGCTCTGGAAGGGTCTAGAGCCTCCATTTTTGCACTCAGGTTAAGTCTCATGGCCCTCTATCAGAATCCAGAGTTTTGAGAAGATTGGAGAAACTTAATTTTTCGCCCGAAAAAAAAAAAAAAACGAAAGGGTACCACTGTCGTTTTTTTTTCGGGTCGAATTTTTGAGTTTCGATATCTCAGCTCTGGAAGGGTCTAGAGCCTCCATTTTGCACTCAGGTTTAAGTCTCATGGCCCTCTATCAGAATCCAGAGTTTTGAGAAGATTGGAGAAACTTAATTTTTCGCCCGAAAAAAAAAAAAAAAAAAGGGGTACCACTGTCGTTTTTTTTTCGGGTCGAATTTTGAGTTTCGATATCTCAGCTCTGGAAGGGTCTAGAGCCTCCATTTTTGCACTCAGGTTTAGTCTCATGGCCCTCTATCAGAATCCAGAGTTTTGAGAAGATTGGAGAAACTTAATTT